TAGACCACTATATATTTTCTGGTAAATATAAATACGACTGTACAGTCAGCCTCTGAAGATGATTTCGTCGATAAAGAAAATTTTCTTCGTTGAATTTGTCTATTATTTTCTTCAATATGAGGGGTAATCAAGAAAGAAAGGATAAATGCATGCCCTTTACACTACTGTTTGATTGATCTATGTGAATAGATATGTACCGCTCACAACAATCAGTTGGGTTTACTAGTCAGATAGAAAGATGTTGCGTTCTGTTTCTCTAGGAGAAGTTTCGAAATTCAGCACTCTGACAGAGATGGAACTGCAGTTGCATAAAACGTAAAGTCAATGAAAGTGAACTGGTGCTTTCTGATCATCATCTTATTAGAATTTCTACTCTCACTTCCTATCTCGTTATCGATTTCTCCATTGCAAAGTGGTTTTGGAGATGATAGATAATATTCAATGCTTGGATACGCCCACCAAACATAAGCCTACTTTAATTAGACGGTTTATTCTCAAAGTGAACGTGTGTAACCAGCGAATTCGGGAAGTTATATATATATATATATATATGCAATAATTACTGGACAGAAAGAATCCTGACTGTTAGCAGTTACGACAACATTTAGGCCTTGGTGGTAGTTATGCTTCAGCTAGACAAGAGATGGTTATTTAGTCATGAGTGACCCTCTAGTTAGGGCTATTTGCTATTTATGGCTTTTGGTAACAACTTGTTCATTATTTTAAAGGTGATTTTGTAGGTAATCACCATGAAGGTTACCAAAAAACACCCAGAAGAGACTGATAGATTATTTAGATGGAAAAGTCTGGTGCCGACTAATACATACCATACCACACATCATCACCGTCGAATAGAGCCTAAAGTGGCAGTCAACTTGCCTGCTTCAATTTCGGCGACTTTCAAATAGCTTTGAACAGCGCTGACTGTACAGTTATGAAGTGCAACTCCTTAAATATTTTTAGACCTCATCAAAATGCTTTGTGATGTTGCCGTATGCCGAATAAATCACAGTAAAGCATCTGAAGTGAAGACGGGCGTGAGAAAACGACTACCATCTATCACCTGCGATCTTCTTGATCATAGTGGACTGGATCATGTGTCAGGCCTAGGAGAGTGAAGGTAAGGGCATGCTGTAGATCTTTGATTGGACGTTAGTAACTAGTGTGATGTGTCTAGTCTTCTGGTTTGGTGCAGACTGAATTCTATCAGTGAAATTTGCAATGTGACCACCATTCTAGGTAGCTCGACATCACGATGCACATATTGATTTGATAATATTAGGTGGTTGAAGGCAACGGGCCACAGGAAGCCCAGCCTGACTCAGGTTTCGTGCTAGTTAGCACTCACCAGTCAATCAGCAAGGCTCAGTTTGATGAGTTTCAACTAACACGAAGCTTAAATAAGGCAAGGCTTCCTGTGGACGATCACCTCCAACCATCCAATATCATCAAGTACGGTGGATCTAATAAAGGAAGCTATAAGATCTGGGTGGATTTCCGGGATGATTATTATTATTATTATTATTATATAAGCTTTATTCCAAATCAGTACTTGTGATACAGAATGGAATTCTCAGCATTTTACTACAATATTGCATCCAGTTTTTTGTTTACATCAACAATAAATAAAGTTCTACATAGTTTAAAGATTATCTCAACAACATATTAGTATGTCGGTAGCAAAGCCAAAATTAAAATGTTTGAAGGTGTTACAAAAGTAGATACTACTAGCATATTTACTGGCGTAAGCGATAGCAAAATGGTCGAGATATACAGAGTGTAAAAGAACGAACAAGAATGTTTTAAGTAGAGTTTGCAAGGAAGAGAGAAACAAAACAGCACATAACAAAAATAAATACAGAATGAAGAGAGAGAAAACGTTGTACCTATAAATGATGTGAGTTGGAAAGACGAGATTCATTGGTTCTAGTGACTATTTAATAAGTTAAAGGTTTCATGCCTGATGCATTCTTTATCACACAGAACACGGGCTAGGTAGGGTATGGATGAGTTTTTGTACTTACTAGTGCGAGCATATAGTTTCCTATATAGACTTCTTGTTTTCCCTGAAGAGATACATGGGGAGAGTTGTGAGTGTAGAGGGTGTTGTGAGTCAGATAAAATGGACTTCGCCCATTTTTCACATGAGTCCATGTGCCTGTCCACCAGAATGTTAACAAGCTGGCTAAGTGGCAAGCTGCTTACCCTGCTGACAACCTTTAACATCCTACGTAATAAGGTATAGTCTTTCTTCAATAGCCCAGGAAAGACTAAGGGGGAGCAATAGAGAATTATAGGCAGAATACGGGAGTTAACAAATTGTAGTAGTAAGGGTTGGGTTACACCAGAATGTCTTAACTTCTTGATGTAGAAGGTAAGACGGTATATTTTCTTGGAAATCGTCAAGATATGAGACGACCAGGAAAGATCAGAAGATAGAGTGACGCCTAGGTATTTAATTTCCGACTTAGTTTCTATTTCAGTGCCATCTATGTTGCACACCTCGTGAGCGCTAACCAGTTTGTTTAGGTCAGATTTATGCCTAAAGGTGAAATTAACTGTTTGGCATTTGGAGGGGTTTAAGGTTAGACCGTTTTCCTTGGACCATTGGCTAATTTCTGATAAGAAGCCATTTAGTTTAGAGCAGTCATTTTGACATTTGACAGGTAAAGATACAGTCAGGTCATCAGCATATTTGACAAAGTTAATATCATTTGAAGACGGTAGGTCATGTAGGAAGAATGAAAAGAGAAGTGGGGAGAGTACAGCACCTTGGGGGACACCAGATTCAGTGAGCACAGCAGAGGAGGATTGACCTTTGTATACGGTGTACTGCATTCTGTTTGAAAAGTAGGAATGCAACCACTTAGTGACCCAAGACTCGGTTTGTGTCGTGGAGAGCTTATTTAGCAAGAGACTTCTAGGTACAGAGTCGAAAGCAGAAGTGAAGTCAAGAAACGTGCAGCGGACATATTTGGCACCTTTGTCTAATGATGAGACAATACTGTTGTGTAAGACGGCTGCAGCGTCTAAAGTACTCCTACCCTGTCTGTAGGCAAATTGTTTGGGGTCTTCGAAGCTTTTAAGGGAGGGTTCGAGTTTAAGAAGTATTAGTTTTTCCATGAGCTTTAGAAACGGGGAAGTGATGGCGATGGGTCTGAACTTTACGTTCTTGCTATTTCCAGGTTTAGGGACAGGGACTATTTTAATGTCTTTCCATGGAACAGGTACAACGTTTTCGGAGAAAGAAGCATTTAGTATATTAGTTAGAGGAGAACATAAAGCATCTGCACATTGTTTTAGGACATATGCAGGTATGCCATCAGGGCCAAGACTATGTGAGGGCTTAAGAGTTTTAAGACATTTCAAAACATCGAGAGTATTGAAGTCCTGGAAGTTATCAGGTGTATCATATATCACGAATATGAAGACACACAATCGGAGACTAACATTCTGGTGGATTAGACAGCAGAGAATATTCAATATTGCGTGGCCTGCTTAAACCACTGGGCTATCTAAATTTCTATCCCAGGTTTTTTTGGGTTTTTTCCTTCACGTTCCCCAGTGGAACGTAGGGCCTCAAGCTAGTGGCTTGAAGTTTCTGTAACAGTGGTGATTATTTTTACAGGATGGGGTTGTTAGCCTCATGCCTAACCTTTCCTCTTTACCAGCATTATTTTTGGTTTAGCGAGGTAAAGGAGTGCGTCTGTGGCCGGTGATCGAACCCCGGACCATGTGCATGGTCGGCGAGCGCCTTAACAGCTACACCACCGACGCACAAATTTCTATCCCATATAATACATAATACACTCTTCTGTATTTCTTATTGTCTTATTATTCTAACTCTTGGTTTATAGGAATTTGGTTGGTCACAGGATTTCATCATGAGCTGACATTAGTTACAGAAACATTGAAAAACCTGGGAGTGCTAGACAGCTGTTTTGTCAACCTAGCTTAGGACTCTTCATCAGTACGCACCCACCACAACTGAGTCAGAACCCATGACCTTCTGGTTACAAGGCTAGATCGTAGACCACTAAGCCACTGGGACCCGTTTCAATGGCCAGCCCATGAATCTAAACTTCTGCCAATTCACGACATATAGCGACTGCTGGCCAATGTCTGCTGCGAGTATTTGTCCTCACACCTGACCTACCGCACCCTACTGGTCACGACTGGATCGGTTCCCAGTGGCCTAATGGTATACGAGCTCGTCTTGTAACCAGAAGGTCCTGGGTTCGAACCCAGTTGTGGTTGGTGGGTACTGATGAAGAGTCCCAAGCCAGGACGAAACGGTTGTCGAGTACTCCCTGAAGGTCTTCCAATAGTTCTCTAACTAATGTCAGCTCATGATTCAATCCTGTAACTAATCTAACTGTATTTTCGGACCTCTACACAAGCTTGCACACAGACTTAATTTTCTGTAATGCACAGTACGTTTGAACAGATATGAGCAAAAAATATCGTAGAAATTTGAACATTGCTTGGAACTGAAGTAAACAGCATTACACAAAATGTGCTGCCGAATATCACTTTACCTAAAGATTCTATACGAAGAGTAGATAGTTTGCAATTGAAATACGCTGATTATTCTGTATTATTTGTTAACATATAGTGTCTAAAAATGTTATTATCAGAACTTCCGTAACATCATATGTTAAGCCATTGAATGCAGCTGAAGTGGATCGTGCTGTGTGTTCCCCTCGGAAAGCAAGCAGTCAACTATTAATAAATGGCAATATTAATAACAAAATCTCAACAGATTACTGACTGATTCGGATATTTATTTTTAATACTCATCCCCGTTCGACCCAGCTTTGAGAGACGAATTAGTCAGAATCACCCCGAGTTCTGAGTAGCAACTTGGGTGAACTGGTAACACCACGGATGAAATTCTCAATTATCATATTAATTAAATCTTTCAAACGTTCGAGAAGGTGAAAAATTATTATTAATGACAAATAACCAAGGAAATAACAAAACACCTATCAAGTACTTACTTCAATCGTTCTTGTTCCTTGGCGCGTACTTCAAAATCCTTTTTGATCACATCCAAAACTTTATTACGTTCTTCTTCGCTTAAATGATTTAAGTCTAACTTTTCAACAGCATCTTGAAGGGATGAAAATTTATTAGGTTTATGTTTTGTAGTATTCAAAGGCTTTTCTTGACTGTGTCGTTTATCGTCACCGGTTGTAGATTTTTTGTTGGTGGTATTAACCACTACCATCGGTGTTGATTTAGCCACATACATGTTGGCCATTTTTGTGTTGTCGTTAACTGTTGGTTTCAGCGTACTAGTTTAGAAAAACAAATATACAGAAAGAAGATATTCAAGTACTGGTTTGTAGGACTTGATCGACTGGTTACAAGATTTCATCATGGGATCACTGGACAGCTTTTTCGTCATAGTTTGGCATTCATCAGTGGTACGCTGTCATGGTGGTTCCAACCCAGAACCTTCCGGTTGTGAGGCGAGCTCGTAGACCACCGGAGGATCGGATCTCTTTGAGCCCACTAACCTTGTAACCAAAAGGTCCTGGATTCGGTTCGAACCCTGGTGATGAGTGATTACTGATGAAGAGTCCCAAACGAGGCCACCGAAACAGCTGTCCAGTACTCCCTACAGGTTTTCCAGTCGTCCTCCAACCAACGTCAGATCATGATGAAATCCTGCTACAAGTGAAAAGAAGCTTGATCATGGACTGATGTAAGTTAGAGGACCACTGAGATTTCACCAAGGCGTACAGCATAGTTGTTGTTTCGTCATAGCCTTTTGGGACCCAGCAGCAGAACAAACCTACTGGGATTTGAACTCAGGGCCTACTAATTACATGAAGAGCTCACAAACTACTCAGCCAGTAGCGCTCACTTCAATGGCCAACCATGAATGGTGGTTTTTTGTAGCTGACATCACAATCCAAGGTCAAACATGAAACATATAGAATGCCTACAGAATAATTCTTAAAAATATAATCGTTTGTTCAACTGTTGGTTTGTAGGAATTTGATTGGTTGCAGGATTTCATTATGAGCTGATATCAGCCAGAGAACCATTGGAAAACCTGCTGGGAGTACTGGACAGCTGTTTCCCCCGTCTAGTTTAGGACTCTTCACAGTACGCACCTACCACAAATGGGTTCAAATCCAGAACCTTCTGGTTACAAGACTAGCGGGTTCGTAGACCATTAAGTCACTGGGACATGATCCAATGGCCAGCCCATGAATTCTAACTTCTGCCAATCCACAACATAGAGAGACTTCTGGCCAATGTCTCCGGCGAGTATTTGTCCTCACACGCAACCTGCTGCACCCAACTGGTCACGACTTCTCACTAGAACCCCCGTTAGGTAGGTCATTTCCTAAAACCAATCAAATCCCTACAAACCAACACTTGAATATCGATGAGGTGCTCACTAGCGACTTTGCCTACTCAGGTGGGTAGTTACCTGGCGTTCTAGTGAGACATCGTGACCAGTAGAGTGCAGCAGGTCCGGGTGTGAGGACAAATACTCGCCGGAGACATTGGCCAGAAGTCTCTCTATGTTGTGAATTGGCAGAAGTTTAGATTCATGGGCTGGCCATTGGATCATGTCCCAGTGACTTAATGGTCTACGAACCCGCTAGTCTTGTAACCAGAAGGTTCTGGATTTGAACCCATTTGTGGTAGGTGCGTACTGTGAAGAGTCTCAAACTAGGACGGGGGAAACAGCTGTCCAGTACACCCGGCAGGTTTTCCAATGGTTCTCTAACTAATGTCAACTCATGATGAAATCCTATAATTGTTTGTCTTTCCCTGGATGTATCCCTTAGTTAACGGCCTGATGAATCAGTAAAACGATCTGTTTGTGAAGAACCTACCTGGACATATCACTGCCTTAATTATTGCCACTTCTGTCCTGTTATGTACAAAATAGCCTTAGTGATGTGTCTCTTCAGTAGAATCTAAGGAATATGCACCAAATACACACTTTATGATAACAGTGACACAAACTCTGGTTGATAGTAATTATCCAGACAAGTTTATAAGGAGATAGATATAAAGAAGTCAGAACACCAGGACACCAATTCTCCAACATTTATATCAAGTTGAGCTACATGGCTGATCATAGCAGCTTGGCAACTAGACATGGATTGAATGTTTCGCTTAAAAAGACTTTTTATGCGGCTTATATCCGGAGAATAATTGATAATGTGAAGCGCATATACAGATTTGGGTCTTCAGAGAATACGAAACAAGATGTCACATCCCAATGTCTTCATCAGTTTAACTGTACATGTAGTCAAACAATGACTAAGCTTGTTCATTAATTAAGTTAGATACGAAGGCACTTTGTCTGCAGTTATCCAACAACAAAAGCTGATGAATAGGAACTCATCTCATCACGGTGGTGTGATTAAGATCTCTCAGCTAGTTGTTTTAACTCCCTAGATTTCACTGCATTTCTGGTGAACATCTTCAGCGTAAAACTTAAATATGAAGTCACTGGTTAGAAAGAAAGAGAAAATTCCACTATTAAACTTCCCAACCACATCAAAAACAGAATTAAATTTTGGTAATGTTTCCCACCGTCGATTTGTGGAGTGTAATTTGGAAAGTTCACGTCTGATAGTGAACTGATATCAGTTAGATAACCATTGAAATGTAAAAAGTACTGGACAATTGTTTTTTATCCTTGTTAGAGAGACTCTTCAGCAGCACGCATCCAAGACCATGCATGGCAAAAGATCAAACCCAGGGGACTTTCAAGTAGAATCGACTACAGCTGTCAACAGTCACAGTCATCAACGAAAGATATTTGTAAGAGGTCACTTCCTTCGTATATCTGGACACTGTAGTCTCAAATACAGGGAGTCAGCACATTTGAGGATGTCATTGTCAGAATCGGAAAGGCGAGACATATTCATCATTCTGTAATATGTATGGAAATCTTCTACGCTCAGTATCAAGAACAAACTTGAGATTTTTAACACAAATTTTTCGGTCAATCAGTCACTTCTTCTGTATGGTTTAGAAACTTGGCGTGTGCATCATGGAAAGCTTCCTCCCTCCAGCCAACTGCAGACTCCGATGGTTCCATACTGAAGATCATAGAGCAAGTCAGAAAGAATTAGCTATAGGAAACTCTGGGAACGATCGAATCAAGAACCTATTGCTCAAAAATTATGCACGAGAAAATGGGTTGGATCAGGAACATGTTGAAGAGATCGTTAAATGACCATGTACATCAGACCATCACTTGAGAGGGACCCGAATGGGAGACGATGAGTTGTTTGTATATCCGAGGGTGATACAAGGGATATCATGTGAGGGGGAGATACGAGATTATGGTTAATCGTACACTCAGCCGGCTGAAAAGGACAGCAGGTAATATAACGAAGTGGAGATGCACTGTTAAAGCCATACGTCCCACCTGGGACCCAAGGGAATAATAGTAATCACGTAGAAGTCGTTATTGACAATACTAATTCCTTTTTAAATAATATAGAGATTTTGACAGCACCAAAATTACAGTTCCAAGTAGCATGTGTATCTGCCTGCCATTTTAACTGCTCCTGTAAATCTAGTTACATTGAACGTATAATTGGGTGAGTTCATCATTGGTTATCCGAATATTATATCCTGCATAGTTAAGCAAAAAGGGACAACTAAGATCTATTCAAAGCTTTTGTTCTGCTTCACCATATAGACATCTCAGATAAAGTTGGTGTTAACAAGGCGGCTTTTAAGGTTATCTATCCACTGTATTCTGACTAATCTTCATTTTTCCTTACAAGTTTACCTTCTACATATGGCTGAAGCCATTGAATCTCACCAGAAGAAATCTAAGGTATCTATTTTAGAAGAACATGTTCATCAAGACACCTTCCCTATCTTGACCATCATGGTTTTAACTTTCTTCAATTGTTGTATAAATTTTCTTAACTAATTTTATATTATGTTGAATTAAGCATTTCATTTTGAACTTCTGAACTCAAATTCTATTGATCTGCTCAACGTTTCAATGTTACTTAAACAAAAACAACACTATTGTCTACAACAATTAATAATAATAATAATTTTTCCTTCACGTTCCCAGTGGAACATAGGGCTCCAAGCTAGTGGCTTGAAGTTTCTGTAGCAGTGTTTGATTTTTACAGGATGGGGTTGCTAGCCTCATGCCCAACCTTTCCTCTTTACCAGGATTATTTCTGGCTCAGTGAGGTAAAGGAGTGTGGCGGCCGGGGGTCGAACCCCGGACCATGTGCATGGTCGGCAAACGTCCTAACCGCTATACAACAATTACTAATTTAAATATGTGTTTATGTAACTCTAGAGTCAGATAATGGAAAATTATTAAAAATGGGAATATTCCTTTGCCTAATCTCTTTTCAAGTATTGATTTTGTAGGGATTGTGTTTGGTTGGTTGGAAGGTTTCATCGTGATTAATTTTTCTGACGCTCACTAGCGACTGGCCCTATTCAGGCAGTTAACCTGGGCGGGTTCTAGTGGGATAAACCGTGACCAGTAGGGTACAACAGGTTGAAGGTCATCAATTGGTAGAAGTTAGAATTCATGGGCTGGCTACTGGATATTGTCCCAGTGGCTTAATGATCTACGAGCTCGCTAATCTTTTAACCAGAAGGTCCTGGGCTTGAACCCTGCAGTGTGGGTACGTAATGATGATGAATCCCAAACGAGGACAAAACAGCTGGCTGTCCAGTACTTCCAGGTAGTTTTCCAATTGTCCTATAACTGATGTCAGCTCATGATGAAACCCTCTAAACAATCAATCTTTTTTGTTTTCAATATTCTTTAAAGTAAAATTGTGAAATTTGTATCGATCTAATAATTTCCAAGGTGGAATGTTGAAAAAAACACCTTAAAACATGCAAATAGTGCTAGTGAAGTTTTCAGTCTACCTTCAACTACTATTGAATTCCGATAAAGTCAATCTTCACAAGAAGTAAAAGTAGAAGAGCCAATTGACGTTTTACTTGCTATTGTGTGCATAATAAATTCTTTATTGTATATATATATATATATATATATACGCACACATACCTTCCACGATTGTTCATGTACTAATACATCATCTGTAAGCTTAAATCTTAACAATAAATCAATAATTTCTTAGATTTATTCCCCTTTATATATTTCAACAAAGCATGAACAACAACAGCGGTTTTTTCAGAATAAAATGATACCATCACTGTTGACTAGGCGGAGGTTATGGAAATAATCAACCAACAACAATAAAAGCGACAGCAACAACATCCGGA